TATATAACCCAAAATGTGGATATTTTTTAAACGATAGCCCTGTGCTGACTTCCAGGCTGCAATGACAGACAGGAGGCAGAAAGCTGCAACAGACAACTTGGGAACAAGTATAATGGCTTCAGCATGTGTTAAGGCAAGATCACAAGGACTGGATAAGGTTACTACAGCCGGCCAAGTCCTGGAGGTGTGCTGGCTGGGCTGTGGTGGAAATCTTCCTTGGTAAGAAGTGTAGAATACACTGCCCAAACCCGATCTAGGCAAAATTTTAGCACTGGTATTTAAGCAAGAGTTGAGAGAATGACATTAAGAGCTAAATCTGGATTTAAAAAGCCTTCCTAAACATCTGCACTAGAGGTTTTGCTCTTTTTTTAAAAAAAAGACAAACATCGTTGCTATGAAAAGTAGAAGTCAGACCACGGCTGTGCAGGCATGGACAGGCACTGTGAAGCGGCCAGTGCAGGAGGCCATAGGGATCTGGGGATGGGCAGGGAGAAACCCCCTGTGCCTATGCCTGGGTGGGAAGGCAGAAGGCCCCTGTGCCACTTAGTGTGGGACCAGAGAGGCCACCTGGCACAGCCACACACTGCCCGTGCCACGTACTTTGGACATGGGTTGACTGCTGGCGGGCGGCCTCTGTGAGCTGCTGTGTGCCGGTGGGCGTCCAGGGCTATTCTTGGAGCTCCCCAGGGCTGGGATAGCGTGGGGCTCCTCACTGACACCATAACAGCTCAGAGGAGACGCTACCAGAGCAGTACATTAGCAACACCAAGACCCTGCAGGCTTCTTTGCAGCCTAGGGGGGAACAGCCCTGTGCTGCCTGCAGGCCTGAGTTTTGCTGGCTGTGTAGCCAACCTCTTTGCCTTCCAACCAACGTCTTCCAACCTCTTACGCTGTGGGGCTGCAATCACAGGATCTATGTGAAGGAGTCTATCGTGAAGGAGTCTATTGTAAAGGAGTTGCGGCTTGTCATGTATGCGCCGTGCAAAGGAGACCTGTCATTTCAAGCTGAGCCTGGAGTTGTGTGTTTGAAACATCTCACTCTCCCTTGCCACGTGGATGCACCAAGCTGACATTGCACTAACTTAAATTTCCTGGTTAAGATTGTACATAAAGACGATTTTACATCATCACCCCCCCAAAATAGCACACTTCAGGGTAAAAAAGGATACGAATTGTGAATCTGGATGTTGTGATGGTGAGGTTAAAACGCCTGATCCCTCTAGCAAGGGTGTCAGCAGAGCAGTGTGCTGCCTGGACATCTCAGGGGACTCACCGCATGGTCACACAGGCAGCGTGGTCTGTGTTTCCTGCACCCCATTTCTCCTCCATGGCGTTCCCAGGACAAATGTGGTGAGATCGGAAAGGCATTTATCCTCCAGATGAACTGGGGGTGCAGACAGCTCTTCTGCCCGAAAAGGAGCAGCATGATGATAGGGGCCCACGTGCCCAGCTGTCCTGGGCTGCCTCTGCCCATAGGCAACCAATACAGGGTGACTCAGGGAAGATCTTGGAAGTCCCAATCATCTAGCAGGCAGCCGAGACACTGGGAGAGCAGAGTACCCGCATAGGAAGCCAGAAAATATCCTTCTATTGATGTGAGGGAAAGGACGGAGTCGTAAGCAGTGAAGGAGGTACCAAGTGGCCCTGTCAGGCTTGTAAGGGTGCAATGATACTCACATTACCTCCTTGTCATGGAGATCTTCACAATATGTAACTCAAGGTCTCTCTAGGTTTGATTAGAAACAGACACCCCAAACTTTGCACTGAAACTTTGAGGCCATCTCCAGTTACAGGAAGTCTGGGCATATCCATATGCAGATGTATGCAATTTGTTTCACTTCAGCAGTTAGCATGACTGTTTTGAGGTCAGGGAGCCTGTTCTTAGGGAATGGGGGTTACTCCTCTGGATGCTCAGCCGAGTGTGGATGCACGCCATCCCCTCCCCACGCCATCCGTGCTCCCTGCCTCCTGCCCTCCATCCCACTCTCACTGCCCCTCTCAGAGCGATGGCTTATCCCTTCCGGTGCCCACAGGGGCTGGAGGTAGAGCAGCCCTTGTCTGCTGCAGCGTGGGAGCATGAGAGCAGTGTGGCTGAGCCGGCAAGGAGGGCTCTGGGCTGGTGGCAGGCAGGCATGGGGACACCCACCGCGTGCGCAGCGGGGACGGCCGCTTCCTCCTTGGGGCTGATGGCTTGCGGCGGAGATAACTATCACTGCTGAAAGCCCTGGGCCCAGCTCCCAGCTGCAGCTTGAGCTATGCAGTCAACCAAATTACATCAGTCTCGGAGCTCTTCTCTGTGTGTGTGTGGTGGTGCAGACCCTTCCCCAGCTAGCTGAGCCGCTCGAGCAGATAAGAAACAGCAGGGAAGCTCCCGAGGAAGGGCCTCAAGTTCTTGTGTTTTTTGCTGCTGGAGTTGCAGAGGACCTGGGAGTTAGGGAGGCAGCCAGCCCAAAGGCATGGAGGAAAATGTACTGAGCTTCCTGACATCATAAATAATAAAAAAAGAAAGAAAGGCAGAAAAAAATTTCCTGGAATACTTTTATTTATTTATTACTCCATCTCTACTTACTCTCATAGGGAGTAGGTAGTCCATTGCTGCAGACTTTCTGGCACTGTTTTATTATCATTAGTTTTGAAAAGAATAAATATCATGGCCATAGCGTATGATTTACCCAGGCTGTGGGGCAGGCACTGTCCCAGCCCATTTTGGACGGGCCTGTCCACCTGCGTCCCCCAGGAGCGGTGGAGCAGCTCAGCCCATCAGCGGGTGCAGGGGCAAAGAGGAGGCAGGGCGGCAGTCACTGGCCTGGACACCAGTTCCGGCACCCAGGGAGTATAAATCTTGACAAAATATGCCTAAAGATCAAAGCCAAGAGAGTTGCGATAGACAACATCAAGCTTTGCTGAGCTTTACAGGGAGCTCCTCAAAAGCCTGAGGGAACAGTATTAGAGAAAGCAATAATCTGAAAACACAGTAGGGTGGCAGTGGCAGATAGCTCCTATGTCTCCAGTGCCTTCATCCCAGTTCTGCCCTCGAGTCCTCTGTACTAACTGGGCAATTTTTTTCTCAAATACCTTTCATAGCTCATCCTCCCAAGCTTAAACCTGGGCCCTTCTTGCCCTCGTGCCCGAGAGCAACAGCTACATTTCATCTTCCCATTTTCATCCCAGTCACCTCGATGCAGTCTTTCCACTGCGCGTGTGAGAAAAGGGCGAGGATATGTACACCTTCTCACAAGCCTGCTCATGGGCTTTTCATTGTGAAACCATGACAAAGCTGTTCACAGAAGGGCTAAACTCTAAATATATGGTGAATTACGTGGTAGGATGTTGTAACGAGGGATGACTGCTGGAAAAAATGGGGACTTCCAAAGACATGGACTAAAATGCCTGAGCTGGCATTAAAGACCCTGGATATCACACTGCTGAGCAAAATCTCCCAGTGGGAACGTCACTAGATGGTGGAACTGTTTCCCAGAAAGACTGATCCAGGACTGAGAACATTTAAAAATAGGCTAATGTGAAATTTTAAAAAAAAACCAACCGTTAGCCAGTTGGCGTGATCTTGGCTTGGTAAGGAAAGCACTGATAGGAAGTACCACTGCACCCTTTCCTTTCTGAACTGTTGGGAGTTGGGTGTAGCAGCTCACGGTTGAACCTTGCGGTATGGCTACCGTGGTTTTTGTCCAAAGATCACAGCCAGAACTGTGGGCAGGCAGGACACCAGGCTGCACAGCACATGCCGGGCAGGCCTGCTCCTCACACAAATCCCTCTTTTTCTGGTCTGGGGACAGCCTGCTGCATGAAGCAGTGGCTGCAGGCAAGGGAGAGCCGCAGCCACTTGTCATCAGAGGTGCTACATGCCACTGGATCCGCAATGAGGATGCTGCTGGCATGGCAGTGGTCTTGCTGATGAGGGGGACACCACCATTGCCGGAGGCAGGAGGTGGGCAGGAGAGGATATCCCATCACAACACTCTTTGCCTGTGCCTGAGGGCACGTACACCTGGTTTCACTCATAGCTGCTAAGCCTTAGAGAGGAAGCAGCTCACTGCAGTGGTTGAAATGTCCACCTCCTGCTTCATGGTACTGCTCTCACATGTCATGGCCCATTAATTATTAATTGCTCAGGGCAGGCAGGCAGGAACAGCCTCCCAGGCTGCTGTCAGACTCCTCTCATTTCTCTCTGCCCCGCACACAGGCTGGGGCATTTCCATAGGTGTCTCACACCAGCTTTTTCTGTGGCACTAAGGGCCGTTCATCGCCCCTTTGCCAAAAGCAGTGCAAGTCCTCACAGGAGGCTGTGGGGTGTCAGTCAGGAACACCTCTGCTGACACACCATCGTTGCCCGGGGATGCACAAGCAGAAAACAGATCCCACGGAGCACCATGCATGGTTGCTGTGTGCCTCTGGTTTTCTACCATGTGTTATTTGGTAGAGGAGCATGGATGGGCTGGTGACTGGGAACCATCCTGGGTTTGGGTCTTTTCTTTCTCAGAGACCTCTCCTGTGGCTGGGACCTAGGAACGTTGTGCTCCATAGGGTTCAGTCACACTGTGGGTGGTGGGAGGGTGAAGGGGGATATTCCTGGGGTGTGTGCACGTAAGCATGCTGGGCTTGTGGAAGGGGACCAGGAAGAGCTGGCATGGCTCACCCCAACCTCCCCTTCCCTGGCTGTGCTGGCACCCGTGGGCTGCGATCAGACCCCTGCCATAACAGCCACCTCCTCCCTTGAATAGAGCCCAGCCAGGTGCCCGTGCCACCCCCAGGCTGAGCTCCAGCACCCTCTGAGGCCAAGGCCAGCAGCTTTCCTGTGTGCCCCCCAGGGCAGCCCTCTGCTTCTGCCCGGAGTGGTGTCAGCCTCTGCCTGCATCTGGGGGCTGCTGCCCAGCTGCCATGGCCAATTGTAATTGCTTCAACCAATTAATTGGTCAAAAGATTTACGTTTGTTTCCTTCTCTCTCTCGCCCTCTCCCCACCCTACCACCCAAATAGGTAAGGAGAGCAGTCTGGGAGAGGCCGACTTGCAGCCCAGCTCTGACCCTTCGGGAATGGACAGCAGCTACCTCAGCGTGAAGGAGGCCGGGGTGAAAGTGCCCCAGGACAGGGCCAGCACGGACCTCCCCAGTCCCATGGACAAGGCCGACTCAGAGAGCAACAAGGGCAAAAAGCGGAGGAACCGCACCACCTTCACTAGTTACCAGCTGGAGGAGCTGGAGAAGGTCTTCCAGAAGACCCACTACCCAGACGTCTATGCCAGGGAGCAGCTAGCCATGAGGACAGACCTCACCGAGGCTCGTGTACAGGTAACGGGGATGCCCTGGGATTGGGTGAGCTCCAAACAAGCCCCTACTCTCCGGGGAATGAAACCATGAGCCCTGCAGATTGGTTGTCCCTTGCTGTGCCTGAGGTCACCTGCAGCCCCACCATAGGCTGCAGTCAGCCGAGCCCTACCCAGAACCCGTGCCACAGGCTGGCATGCCTCTCCAGTACCCTGAGGCACAGGGAGAGGATGGGGAGGTCCATGTCTGACACATGTGATGGGCTGGTGTCTCGAGCTGCAGTGTTCACAGAGAGGTCTCTTGTCCTTGAGCTAATGGGGCAGCAGGCAGGTAAACTTCACCATCACCCTAAACAAAGCTGTTGCAAAAACTACTTTCTTCAGGAGACTCAACAGGGGACACGGGTTCATTAGTATGAGTGGGAGCCAGCTTTCCCACGGTAGGGGAATATGGGGATGCGGAGCTGACCAGGACATTCAGTACCAGAGAGCATGAGGTGATACAGGAGAAGCAGCTCTTGGTGCTTCTCCTGCTCTTGGCTAAGCAGGTGCTGAGACTGCACAAAGCCTGGCGATATGGAGCCAAAAGGTGTTCCCACCATCCCGAGAGGAGCAGGAGAGTCAAACAGCTGTGCTGCATTCTCACCGCCTCCACCCACACAGGTACTAGGTCCCCTGAACTAACCTGGGGGTCCAGCATAGCCAAACTCCACATTGAAGGAGTGAATGATTCTCTGAATGCTGCTCTTTCCTCTGAGTCAAGGTTAAACCGAAGGTCTGGCAGAGTTTAGAAACATTTGCAAAAATGAGCACTGTCACTTGGGGTGGACATCTCCAGCTCACGCCTTGATGGCCATCAATGGCCCTGCTGAAGCTTTGGCTCTCGTCTAGCCGATCCTGTGACTTCTGTCTGCAAGCATTTATCAGCTCGTCAACCCCAGAACCTGCATTAGCATTGAGAATAGCTGGCGAGTGGAGGCATCTGATTATCCTCTTACACCAGGAAGACTCCCAGGTCCCAGGCAGCCCAGCTTGCCCTCTGCTCTAACCTTTACGAGCAGTTGTTGCAAACAGTCAAAGCAGTCAGGCCAGCATCCTTGCATAAGTCCATTTTTCTCTCTACGTTTACTTCCAGTTTCAACTGGCTGCAGGATTTTTCTTGTCTGCTGGCCTAAATTGGTCTTCTTCCCACAGCTGTTTCTCTTCAGGCTGGACACGGCTGCATTTCAGTAGAAAGCAGCGCGATTCCCCTTGGTCCCGCGCGTAGCGTGCTGAGCGCTGCGGGATGGGCAGAGGAAGGCAGCACTACCAACGCCAGCTCTTTACTTCTGCCGCTGGACGCAGCCCTTGATTTCCCAGGGACGCATCACAAGTGCTGAGGGGATCTCCTGGGAGGGCAGGCGCAGCATCGGGTTACCGACTGCACAGTGCATGAAATTCCTTTCGCTCAGGAATGGGAATGAGGTGCTGGAGGGTGGCGAGCTCCTCCTGCTCGCCTCCCAGCCCGGCTGTGCAGCTAGCGTGTCCCAGGCCCAGCAGGGCTGGCTACCAGAGCCAGGCAGGCGAGCCAGACGCATTCCGCAAGTTCATTACATATGACCCACGATCTCAGGGGTTTTTTTTTTTCCCCACTTTGCCACTGGATAACACTGTGGCCGAGGGCAAAAGCACCTCCCCAGGCAGCGAGGAGGAAATTTGGCAGAGGGAAGGGGTAGCCTGGGGGTTTCACAACAGCCTCTCTCCTCTTGCGACCGCCAACTTGCACCGCTCACTTGGGATGGCGATGACAGGGCTCATGTAACAGAGCATCTGAAGGACTCGTCTAAGTGGCCTGGTGGCTTGAGCACTTACCCTAGGGTGAAAGGGGTGAGCTCTGCCTTTCACTCGTTCCCCCAGCGCCGCAGGGAAGGTTCCTGTCCCTCAGGCTGTGGTCTGGCCCCCAGCCACTGCACCACGATGAAGGGCTTAACGCGGGCCCCCTGTCACTGGAGAGCGAGAACCTCGCAGGCTCGTGCCGAGCGCTGTGGGTGCTGGCTGGGCAGGCTCGGGGGGCAGCTGGCTGCCAGGTATTTCACGTGGGTTCCCAGGGGGTTGGGGCCACTGGCTAGTGAGGCACTCAGCCTTGGCAGGGTGGTGGCAGCCCCCAGGAGGCACGGGGACGCAGCCTGGGGTGGCACGGGGCTCTTCTGCTGATGGCACAGTGCTGCACTTCCCACAAGGGAGGCTTTTGGGACCAAGCCCTTAGTGAATTACCCTAGCGCCCGTCTCCAGCTCTGGGTTGTGTTATAGCTTGTTTAGGCTTGACTTTGGCCTCCCACCTCTCTGGGCAGTTCTGCTCTGTGGGGGCCTCCCCACTGCAGCACCGAGGGCATCAGCTTACAGCCAAAGAGTGTGCACAGGCATGGCGCAGCAGGCCAGGACACCGATGACGAAGCAAATGCCTACTGCAAGGACCAACCAATGCTAAGGCAGAGGGCAGAGATTACAAATAAGTCCCAAGCCCCTTACTTCTCTCCTTCTGCAAGCCAAATAGCAGCTCTGTACTCAGACGCCCTCCACCAAGCAGGCAGGGGCTCTGGCTGCTGTGGGGCATTTGGGCACACACCTACTGCAGCCCCATGGGCTTTGAGGGGACCTCAATGGTTCTTTTTCCATGTCCTCTAAGGGATACTTGCCATTTCATGGTAATTTCATGGAGGCCAGCTTCAGCTGCTGGCAAGGCTGAACTAAGCAAAGCAGAGCGGCAGGAAGGCGAGGCGCCCAGCAGGTCTGAGGTGTGATGCTCCCTCCCACAGCTGAGCCAGCTCCTGGCTGGAGGTCACCCCCTCTGGCCAGGCGCAGCTCCCTGGGGAGCGCAGCCAGCCACCGGGCTGCAAGCAGGAGCAGATGCAGAGCCCAGACAGGCAAGTGGCAGCTCTGTTTTTTTCCATCCCCTTTCCCAAGCTCACGCTTCATTAGTGAAATAGCTGACAGAGACCACAGTGCCTGGAGAAGAGCTCATGCCACCAGCGGGCACGGGGCAGGCTGTGCTGTCTGCAGAGCGGTGGCATCCTGCAGCCTACCCCTCTCCTGCTCCATTTCTCTGCCTGCCTTGGTTTCCAGCCATCAGTGCTGGTGTCCGAAAGCTAATTCCCCCTGCGATAGGATGCAACGCAGCATTTTCCCTGTCTGTCCCCCATGACCTGGCCCCTTGTTGCCCAGTACTATTAAGCTACTGCACGTCCCTGATTTCCAAAGTGGGAGCCACGCTTAAGCCCTGCGCAGAGGCAGAGCCACCCAGCCAGGCTGCGAGGGCTCACAAACAAACCTGCAAAGGTGTGCACTGTTTTCATGTAGTTCCTACACAGCATGCATATCCCATTCCTTTCTCCTCCTCTTCCACGCTTGGGTCTGCAGAGCCCCAGAAAGAGTTCCTGCTCGGTACCAGCAACCGCCCGAGCTTCTTCCACCCTATCCAGGGCTGCAGCAGATTTCTGAGGTGGTGGCACACATGGTAGACACGCATATGTATTCACACATGGCTCTTTCCCCTTGCCTGCAGACATACACACGCCCCCACCCCAGCCCCCGCCAGCCCAGCCCCGGCTGCTCATCTCTCTTGGGCTGCAAGTGTCTCTGCCTCCCGGTCTGCCCTGGGGCAGAGGAGAAAGAGATGGGGCTGGAAGGAGGCTTCGCAGCCAGGGAATATAACCCCGCAGCCAGCCCCCCTCAGAGCCAGCCTTACGATTGCTGGGACCGCTAATGAAATGTTTTCGGCGGTGACTCTGTGATGCAGCGGGGGCTTGAAAGTGAGAGGGAAATGTCAAACTCCGCTGTAGCAAACTCACCGCCTTGGAAAAAAAAAGAAAAGAAAAAAAGCAAAGCAAAGCAAGAAGTAATATATCTTGATCCCTTTTCCCCCATAAAACCCTGGGAGGCTGGTGGAAGGAGCGGAAAGACTGAGCTAAGCCTGCAGGAAATTAAACATGAAATGAAAACAAGCTCAAGTTATTCAATTCTCTCATCCCAGGCTCCAATTTCCCATTCCAGGCCACTGATAAAATGGTGTCCAGTTTCAGCGCTCAAGGATGAATTCTGGCTCTGTTCTTGCAGGCTGGAAAGCAAAAGGCTGGTGGCCATCTCTGGGAAGAGGGGAGACGGCCGGGCCTGTAGCAGAGGGATGGGGTCCTGGAGACAGACAGACAGACGGAGGCTGAGCAAAGGGAGGAGAGCAGCAGGGAGGGAGGACAGGGATGGGTGGAACGGATGCTGTGAGGCTGCCAGGGGAGAGTGGGAGCACGTGAAGCTTGAATGTGATGGGCAGCTCTCACCCGCAGCCAGGCAGCGATGCAGTGAGGGGGGCTTGAGCACAGGGCATAGGGTGCTGGGCTGGGTCTGGCCCCACAACTGCCACCAGACCAGCTTCACCCTCCATGGCTGCGCTGGGGCATGTAGCAGAGAGGGGAAACCACCTTTTTCTTTAACTTAGAGGAAAGACAAACGCAGCAATGCAGTGCCCAAACATCCAGCCATGGCCAGAGAGACCTGGGTGAGGTCCCGGCTCAGCCCAGCCACCCTTGTGGGGTGCGTGGGGCTTGGTGGCAGGGGCAGACGGGCAGCACCAGCTGGGTGCCGGGGTGGTGGCAGGGAGATAGCGAGCAGGACCCTCCTGCTTTCTTTGTCTCAGGCCGTTCCCGGCCTCTCCACCCCCCGCAGCACATCAGCTGTGTATGCATATGGATTTAGGTACCAGCATATGGCTGAATGTTTATGGAGACATGAAACATTTTCTGTTCTGTACAATTTTATAGGGCTGATTTGGTACATCAGGGCTTATCAAAGCATTGTCTGCAGGAGTCAGATACATGACATTACCTTACACTCCCACTCTAATTGTTAACACTGAGATGCAGCTCACAGCAACTGCTTCTCCCTGCACAAAATACCCCATCCTGACCCCAGAGGACACACCACACCAACTGCTGCAACTTCAACTGTCACATCCCTGTCCCATAGCAGCCTCTCTTGACAAAAGATGACAAGCAATGAATGGAAAATGGACTTCTGTTGTTTTTTTAGATTTGCTTTTTAAAAGCTGGTGTCTTCTAAGATTGAGGAAGCCAAGAAATACTTAGGATTCATTGGGTTTTTGCTGACATCTTTGCATTATACATTGCCCTGCCTGCCCTGTTGTCCTGGGAGCACTGTGGAGGCCTGGAGAAACCCGACTGCTAGACACCAAGCAGCCTAAAAGGACTTGGACCAGAAGAGAAAGGAGAACTTCAAAAAGCAGTCCAAACCTTGTCGCAAGTGTTTCAGAGCAGTGGCTCACTGCCAGCCCTCAGAGCATCTCCAGTGCCCCCAGCGCCAGCACATGGACTGAAGACACTCTTCCTTTCAGCCTAACGTGATGGTTTGCCACAGCTTCCCAGCCCACCAGCCACGTGGGGATTGCAATTCAGGAACTGCCAGTTCAAACGATTTTGCTCTGCCAGCGCCAGTTAAATCCAATGAGTAAATGAGGAGCGAGCAGAGAAAAAGCCAGTGCTGGAGACCCTGTTCTGCCTCAGCCAGCCCCTCCCTGTGGCTCCGGCAGGGATGTTGCCACACTGTCCTGGAGAAGCCGAGCGCACAAATCCGTGCTGATGGCATCCGAGGCTGTGCCATGGATCCCAGCACCGCCGCCGGAGCCTGCGCTCAGCTGCCCCG